GGGGTAGGTTTAGGGGTAGGTTTAGGGTTATTTTTAGGGTTATGTTACAGCGCGCTTCTGTTGGCGCGCTGTTGTCGCGCGGTTTTGTCACCGCGCTTTAGTCACACGCGCTTTAGTCTACCGCGGTTTTGTGGTGGAACCCATTAACAGAACAAAATTCTTTAATGTTTGAAAAGATTGAAGAAAAATAAATCAACTGTGTGATTAGGTGGAAGTTGCAGGTAGAATAAGTTATGTACCTGTAGCTTATTCCTATGACAACAATTCCCCCAAATCAAGTGACCAGAGAATAAGGTTTTAGAACAAGCAGCAAATAAAATGCTTAGTTTCTAATATAGAGTGTTTATTAATGAAACTTTAACTCTTAGGTTTCTTTCTACAGGATTAGGGAGATTGTGCTTTTTTCTGCAGTCTACTGTTTCATCTGAAAATAAATTCTGGAAAGGTACTGGCAGAAATCAGAAACATCACTTAACCCCTCTTCCTTTAGTAGGCTGCATTGTGCAACACAAAAAATCCCTTTAGTTTGTAAAAGGAGAACTCTAGACTTAATACTAGTACTTTACTGTCCTAAGACCTGAAAATAATAGTGAAGGCAAGAAAAAGAGCTGAAACATTGTACCTATAGCTTGATATAGTTTTACTAAGTTACAGAGCAGCTACTGAAAATGTAATAAATCTAAAAATACAGCCTGACTTGATAAAACAGGAGATACATTTAAAATTCAAAGCAAATAATATGGCAGCTGCCAGGAAGCAGATATCTTTTACATTATATCAATATAATATTTAACTAAATCTGATTCAGTATGGTATTATAAATTGCATACATTATACAATGAAGAAATTCATTGTATTATTGAACTTATACAATTAATTAGTATCATAGTCATGGGATTAAAGTTAATAGAGTTAATAAAACTTGAAAAATACACACTATCAAAAAGGACCATGGAAAATGCTTTACTCTGATAAAGTTAATATTTGTTTCAGGCAAACCAAAACTAGGACGTGAATTGGGCCGAGGGCAATATGGAGTGGTGTACCTATGTAATGCCTGGGGGGGACACTTCCCATGTGCGCTCAAATCTGTCGTTCCACCAGATGAAAAGCATTGGAATGATCTTGCACTAGAATTTCACTATATGAGGTGGGTGCAATTACATTTTGTTGTTAATGAACAGGAAGCCTGCCAAATTACAGATAGTCCTTGAGATACGAAAAGTAACAATGGATATTTGAAGTTATGACAGACCCACTACATACACCCTAGTTTTGAAATTATGGCCACTGCAGTGCTCTGGACTAACTCGCCCTTAACATTGATCGCAGGTACGCTCCAGGAACTCCCTGCCTCTCTCCTCCCCATCCCAACTGTACAGACTGTGTGCATTAAGGCAGCAAAACAGAGCAGTTTATGCATTGGCTGCATAGCATGATTCTGAAAGTGGCAGTGATATCAGAATGCCCCAGAGGTTTTAAAAAAGCAGAATACATTAGCAAAGGTCATTTTGTCCCTCCACTTCATGATTCAGGAGATGACCACTATATTTCCAGCAGCTGAATTACACTTTGATAGCTGTAAATATTGTTGCTGCTTCCAGAATCATGCCACAATTCTACGTGGCTGCACAATGAAGCAATCCGTTCCAGTCTCTGAAAGGCCTCTGAGCTCTTCAAAAGGTTAGTGATGAGGAAAGTGTTTGTCCTGGAAAGGTAGGAATTAGGCCTAAGGCCTGTGGGATCATAGAGGGAGTGAGAAAAGTCCTGTGGGGACCCAATGGGTGAGAAGTGGAGCACAAGGTTTTTCAGGAGGATGGGGGAGACTTTGGGAGTCCTGGGGTGGGTGGACCTTGGCTTGCACTAGGCCTACAAACACCTCCCTCACCTACCTTATGCTCCATATAATGACCTGATTGTTCATTTAATGGCCACATCAAGAAGAGCAGGGAGTGAGGGTCAGTAGGTGAGCCCATTTTATTTAACCTCTGTCGTGACTAATGAACAAGATCCATTATGGTCTCATCTCAAGGACTATTTATATCAAATCAATAGAACATGGCAAAAAGAGGCATCACACCTTTTAGCAGATTTGCTGTAGTTTGCATATTTTCATAGTTAGAATATTTACCTGTAATCTTTTTATCTTAACACTGATTAAAAACAATATTTTAAACTAATTGCATATTTCCAGAAGTATAGGTTAAAATATAATAATTTTGAAATTTTCTAGATTAGAAAAACTGCTTTGCTTCTTTTGATGGTAATTGTCTTTTCCTAAGAAATCGAATAGGCAGAATGACCACTTGGGTCTTACTTTTGACACACCATCTAGGTCACTGCCAAAGCATGAGCGGTTGGTAGACCTTCATGGATCCGTGATAGATTACAGTTATGGAGGAGGTTCCAGCATTGCTGTTCTACTGATAATGGAACAGTTACACAGAGACCTCTATACTGGATTAAAGGTAAGGAGAAACCTTTTTAAAAAACAGGAAAAACTATTTTAAAGAAAATGAAATGCCTATGTGACTAGTGGCCCTGTGTGGTAGCTCTTTGTAACCATTTCCACTTTCCACTCAAGCGTAATTCTGATGGTATGATTTGGTTTAATTTAGATTAGATTACATCACATTAGGTTAGTATCTCTGTGTTTCCTGCTTATGTCCAGCCAATAAGAAAATGGGCATTTAATAATGCTATTTAGGTCTCATGTGAGGAGTGACAAAGCAGTATTTTTATTTGCTAGTTTCTATATTTCCCCACCACATTTTGCTAAATAGATATTATTATTATATTGAGAAACGGTACACAGAAGGAAAAAAATGACTTTCTTTATCGCTGGAACTTTCTGCTAAGCGCAAGGAGGAGACCGTAATTTTCCCCACACTATTGTCTCAGGGATTCCAAAAGAACAATTAATTCTAACTTATTCAGTTGCCATGCTCAATATTCAGTTGCTTCAGATGGCGTTGAGAATGCCGAGTTCTCATTGGGCTGCCTTGGAAACGTTTTCCTTCCTCCTTTTATTACAAATATAGACTTCCATGTGTATGTGTGGGGGTGGGTGTATTCCAGTAAATATTCTCATATTCAGCCTAGCAGAATGAAATAGAATTGAACAAGCAGAACTATGCCGTGACCTTTTCAACTAATCTTCTAAGAGGAACCATTTCTCCAAGAAACTTTTTCCTGAGAAAATATCTCGACATATACAAGACTCACTTCTTAATACTTGGAACTACTAATCACCTTAAAAGATTGATAAAAGGAAGTTTTCTTTTGTCTTAGGCTGGTTTGACACTGGAGACAAGATTACAGATTGCACTGGATGTAGTTGAAGGGATCCGTTTTCTTCATAGCCAGGGGCTTGTTCATAGAGACATCAAACTTAAAAATGTACTGGTAAGAGATAGCTTTGTGGCTGTAATTTTATATCATTTGCTCAAGTGAAATTAAACATCAATAGGTAAAATAAGAGCTTTATTTAAGTCATTCTCTAAAAAGATGCCTCTGCTTTTACAAATACACAAACAGAAATGATTGTGATTGTAAAATGCAGGAAGGTCATCTTGTTCTGCTGAAGCAAAAAACATAAGTTTTCTATATATAGAAAATTAAAGAACAAGAGAGGTAATTTCCTAACACTTTTGACCTTCATGCTAAACAGAAAATATCTGGTTTTCAAATGATTAAAACAACTAATACAATATTTATTAATTGAATATAATATGAAAATGATTAACATTTAAAATCTGGTGGAAGAAATGAGCTTTTAAAGATTTTATAAAAGCTGAGAGAGTGAGAGCTAAATATAATTTCTAAGGAAATGCATTCCATAATGAGAATACTCTCTACTCTTTTCCGATAAGAGCACCCTGTGATGGTGGACCTTTCCTATAGATCTTAATTCCTAGACAAAGTCATAACTGAAGATATAACATTTAGATAGATGATAGATAGATAGATAGATAGATAGATAGATAGATAGATAGATAGATAGATAGATAGATAGATGGATGATAGATAGATAGATACCCTACCCTATTTTTTAAAGGTTAATACTAACATTTTGTGACCAATAAGCAGGTGGTAACCTTTTCAGATTTGTGATATCTGTATTTTGCACTGGGTAATTACAATTACAATTTGTAATATAATTATTAAGAGAAACTATGAACAACATGTTGCAATAACCAATACTTTATATAACTAAGTAATGAATAAACTATCACTATATCCTGTTTCCTCAGGAACAGTAACAGCCCACAATCACTTTCATGTAAAATAAAAACAATTGTATCAAATTTACCTGATGCTTTTATTTATTAATGTATTATTTTCTCCCAAGTAAGATCCATAGAGCTCCTTCATTCATTCCCCCCCCCCCCCAAATAACACTCTTTGGTAGATTGAGTACAGAGACAGTGACTAGGCTATCGTCAACCAATAAATTTCAATGGTTGAATATATATTTTAATGTTGCTATACATGGATCTCCAATATCTAAATCAATTTATCTTTTTGGTTGTACTAGTAGTAAAATTGAATGCATTTGATATGATACTTTTTTATTTCATAAGAAAATTCTGTCTAATCAATGGTTAAGATTACAACTGTATATCACATTGTGTTGAATTTTCTTTGAATAACTTAATGAAGTATGAGACTCTATGTAGTTAATAAAAGCAGAAGCTCCAGTATCAAATGTGATCTGATCTAGATTAGATTATAATAGGAACAACAATGATGGCTACTTTTAAAAAATATCCTAGCTAATTATTTCTACGACAATGTATCCAATGCCACTGGACAAAGTATCAGACTTCGTTAATGTTGTTCAGCAAAGACACTTTTGAAAATAGGGATTGTTTATAGCTGCTTAATAAAGAGATTTGATAACAGGATGTTTTTGATAATCATTGCATTGTGTGTTGTGCAGTCATTGTATGTTACATTTTATATTCTTTATAGCTTGATAAAAACAATAGAGCTAAAATCACTGACCTGGGATTTTGTAAACCTGAAGCAATGATGTCTGGAAGTATTGTTGGGACACCTATACATATGGCTCCTGAACTCTTCACAGGTGAATTTACCTTGAAAATCTTATTGATTGTTAGCCATAAAGTCAAATCTCAGTAAAATAGTCTGCATCCAAGAAAACCAGAAAAAGTACTGTTTCTTTCAGGAAAGTTCATGTGTTTATGATAAGGAGAAGTCAAACAATTTAACTTCGTGTTTCATAGATCTCAGTCTTGCAAAACTTTTTAAAAAGGAATTAATTTCAAGAACAACAAAATTTCATAATTTGGGGCCATTAGAGAGTTTCTTTCCTTTGCTCTCTAAAACTACTAAATGAATGAAATAATTGGGTGTACAGATGAAGTCAACCCAATCATGGATGCTATCTCCACCAAGATGGAGTAATCCCTGGTACAATTATGAAAGAGTTTAATGTTAGCAATGCATCCGAATGTGAAAATATAATCCCTGAATAGTATTGTTAATCTAATTTTCATTGTGTTCCGACTGTTTATGAATACTGTGGGTATAAGGAGTTGGGGGGAGGGCAAGTTAAAAGCTCTTAACCCAAATGCAGTTCTCCCAGGGAAAACACTGACTCAGTTAACCAGCATCAAAGTAGGCAACTATCTCATTATAAAAACACTTTCTTAGGAAAACTACACTGCTTAGTCATTTAGGAAGCTAAGGAATGCAGAATACTAGGAAAGCAAAGTAATTCCTTAGAAATAAACTATGTTCACAACATACTTTTTTTTGTAGTTTTAGGCTACTTACTACCCACCTCCATCTTTGTAGTCTTCTCCCATTACCTCATAGTTATAACCTAATAGTCTTTCTCACTTTACTGGGCACATGATTGGTTATATTCAATGAAATACCTGGTTGCCAAATCCAATTCCATATAAATTCTAATTTGTAAAAGTCTATAAATATGGTCTGTAGCTCCATCTCTCTTTAGGCTTGTCTTTACTTCCAGCACTATAATAAACCAATTTGAACTTCAGTGTAACATTTCCTGGTTTCTGGTTCAACTGGACTTTTTTGGAGGAAATGTTTCCTACTTTATAGCCAGAATATTATAAGATTTATATCTCTGAATATAGTATGTAGATTCTCAGTATACAAATCCATGAAATCACATGATTAATACAGTTAGTGCTTCATGCTCTAAAAAAGAGCATTTCTGATTGGTTGATTATTACTTGATCCAAGAGAGCAATATAAAAATATTTAAATATGTGTGTGGGCCAAGTTGTCACATTTGTGATACAATGGTTTGTGTCAGCTTCCATTCTTTGTGCTGCTTTTGCCCTACTAGAGTATCTAGTAGTGGAGGATTAATACATGTAAGTAGATTTCAACCAATATTTCTTGTTCATATTTTGTAGGGAAATATGATAACTCTGTGGATGTGTATGCATTCGGCATCCTATTCTGGTACATCTGTTCAGGACATGTGAAATTACCAGAGGCTTTCGAGAGATGTGCAAGCAAGGATCATCTTTGGAACAATGTACGAAGAGGTAGGCATAGTTGCAACACAAATAGATTATATCAAATTGTGACATGATGGTGAATTTCCTAAAGTGGCAGTCTGCTGACCAGATTTGACCCTCATAGTGTTTCAGAATGTGAATGAAGTCCACAGAAAAAGATTAGTGGGTAAGTATTTTTAAGTATGGAGATCTCTTTCCTTACATCAACTTATACAACTTATGTTATCTTAATAGAAGCCTATTTTAACAAACACAAAGAATGGAACAGAAGGCTCCATAGCACTCAATATGATAGCAACTTTCAATATGTCATATAATATTGTATACTTCATTTTAGTGTCTTGATGTTTATAGGAACAAACCAGGTAGATTGTTTTATCATTCTTCTAGAAATTTGTACCAAGTTTGTAAATCTGTAAAATGTTTTAAACAATGCTGGAGTAATAGAATGTTCTTGCATTTCTTGATAATGCTACCTGTTGGTCTTTCAACCTTCCATCAGGACCCTAAATTTGGGAATAATTCAGACAAGCCACATAAAATTCTCTTTAGAAAATGAGGGAAATGTCATTCAAATCTCATTGTATCCTTCTGGCATCCAGTTCCTCAGGAACTTTGAATCTGAAGCATTCTGAAGTGTTGGAAAATGCCAACTAGACAGGGAAGAAGAATCAAGCAGGAAATTAACCTTGAGTTAAGATCCAGGATTAATCTCTGCCCTCTCCCTCCTGCCCCAAGCTCCAGGGAACATCATTTATTTGTTTCCAAAGGAAACAAGCAGTTTGGAGAGATTCCTGTGTTACAAGCAGAATACAATAAAATAGTTAGCTTGAACCCTACACATTTGGATCTGGTCGCTTGTGCCTGACATTAGATAGGGTTTAGATTGCCATTCTTAAATACTATCCTTTATATCTGTACAATGGCCAGAGAAATTTGCTTCTGTTGCATGTTCAGGATGGCAGCTGTGTCATGTTTCTGAAGACAGAGATATAGACAGGGATACATGTACTAAATATGAAATAAATACATTAAAAGTGAATCACAGTAACATTTACTCATGTAAATGGTCCACTAATATGTACAATATAACACTGAAATAGGCTACTTAATCAGAGCATCAGCAGCTGTATGTATAAATCTATGTATACATTTCTATGCACTAGGAAAATTCTGTTTCCTTTTGCATTTTGTCTATGCAAATTGTTACTGTAATTTTAAGTAGACTACTTGTGTAAGTCTTTATTCATACATACTTGAGAATATTCATAATATTTATTTATGTTTTTCTCTTTCTTCCAATATTTATGGGTAATTACTTGTCAAACAAATCTGGGCTGCTAATAGAGGATTAAAAACATAAAAATACAAGTAAGAATCAATAAAAACTGACACCACTGGGGTAAATAGATGACATGGCTGGCACACCAATCTAATAAATAAATAAATAAACACCTCACATAGCATATACTAAAATGGGCATCTAAAATATACTGTTTCAATGCCTAAGGGAGAAAAAAAAACTAAAACCAGATAGGATCAGGGCCACCTGAATTTTGGGAGCAGGGAAATGTTATTCGTAGGGCAGTCAAATATTGTGCCATGTAGGTCTAACCACCAGCAATTTGGATTGTACCCAGAAATGCAAGTCAAAGGTGGCAGTGTCACACAGGCCAACTAAGCTATATGTTTAACAACTTGTATTGCTGCAGTTTTGCCTAACCGAAACTTCCTAGTCTTCAAGGGCAGCCCCATGTAGAGCATATAGTCATAGGCCAGGTGAGAGGTGACAGATACATCAGTGACTGAAAGTAAGACCTCCTAACCCAGAAATAGGAAGAATTGGTACGGAAGAAGAATTTGTGCAAAGGCCCAACTAACAATGGCTGCCACTTGGTCTCTGAGCAGGAGCCACAAGAGTAAAGGACTTTGACATTCTGCATTAGTTTTCTGGGGAAGTGCAACCCAGTCCAGGATTAACAGTGGAAGCTCTCTAGAACACAGTAGCTCCCAAATCCACAGCCTCTCAGTTTTGTTATCGTTGAACCTCAGTCTTTTATTCTCCATCCAGATTTCCACAAATCCTAAATAATTTATTATCTCAAAGCCTTTTATTATAAAACTTTGGATGAAATTTATTTCTAGAAATAACAGAAGAAAACTGCTGCAATTTTTACCATTGTAATGAAAGTTGATAGGGATCAAAGAATTAACTTTGCACCTTTATTATGTTATCACATTCTTTATTCTCTTTTAGGTGTTCGCCCTGAACGTCTTCCCATTTTTGATGAGGAATGTTGGCAGTTGATGGAAGCCTGTTGGGATGGAGACTCTTCTCAGCGCCCTCTCTTGGGCATTGTCCAACCTATGTTGCAGGGAATAATGGATAGACTTTGCAAATTGTACTCTGAGCAGTTAAACAAAGGACTCGATGATTCCACTTGAAGATATTGTGAATTTGTTCAGTTATGTAAGAACCTGGGTCACCACTTTGCCACTGACAACTCAGTGGCTGTCTGGAACAAACCAGCCAAAAATTGAGGGTTCAGGTGAGATTATTGAAATCCCACCTTTATATAGTAGCCAGAGACTTCTGTTTTCAATACACACTACTAATGTAGCTTGACAGTGCTTCCTTCTTTCTTAGAAATAAATTAGGAGCCTGGGAACTTAGACCCTAGTCTGTAAGGGGTTTTACTTATCCATTCAGATGAAGGCAGAAAGTACTGTTAAGTTGGGAAGTCTGGCAGTCAATGCAACTGCATCTTAAGCTACAGCTCCTGCTAACTAGATGCATGTACATCAGCCTTTCTGAATGTTACACATATGAATGTGGATGATTGGAAGAAATAAGATGGTGTCCCTTCCAAAGGGAGGGTAGTCTTCTAATTTTTGCAGTGCAGAGAGCTGTGAACTAATTTGGACTTTTGATAATATCTGTTATTGTTTGCACAATGGGATCAAAGCTCATAATGGGGAAGTCTCACTGCAAGAATATCCCAAAGTATAAGCTCACTGTCATTTATGAACCAAATTACTTTTGGGGAAATTGACAAATAGGTGACAATGGCCTGATTTTATTATTACCATTACTTTACAAACTTTAAGACAATACTTCACCCAAAGGTTGTTGATATATTGAAATAAAAAGACAAGTAACAATTATTGTCTGTACCCAATGGACAACCAAATGTTTTTAATTGTGGCAGATTTTGCTTTTCTTTTTTCCCTTTGAATCTAAAGAAAGGCAATGACTGTTTTAAACTCTTAATGTCAACTGGCTATTTTAAAAGATTTTGTTAGCTTTGTATTTTTAAGTCATTCCTTTGAAGACTATTTAAGAGAAACCTGTCACTTTTCTATGGATGTGTCTGACCATCATTTTCTTCTTTGGGCTTTATCATTTAATATTTCCCATGTAATTTACATACTCTAACACAAACATTGCTTTTCATTTGTTTATACACAATTTCGTTTCATAGCACAATAATTTTAAGAACGTGTAGGCTGAAATACAATGTGTCTGCCATGGATGTAGAATGGGACCAACTACCAGTGTTCCCTCAGCTGTTTGGAGAATGAGAAATACCATTTTCCTTCCCTGTGCAAACTGCATCACCTTTTTTTCTAGGAGGCACCTTCTCTTGTACAAAGCAGAAACGGGGCCTCTTAACCCTACTTATGTAGATCACTAAAAACAAAAGTAGCCCCACAGTGTTACTCATTACCAAAATAAACCTTTGTGTGTGTGCAATAAAATAAGATATCATGCTTTTAAAATGACTGCTTCTTACTTAGTTGCATTTATTGTTCTGTTGCAGTCTAAAGTTGTTTTGGCACTTCTGTCCAAAAATTGTAGTATTTGGCAAATTTACCAAAATAGGCAGCCATAGCTGTGAACATTACACAAAAGCACCTTTTCTCGAATAAGAAGTTCTAATATTGCCACAGATGTATTTTTGGACGATCATTCCAGTCACTTGACAGTATTATTTTATATCTTTTGTTTGTGCTATGGTGGCTAGTGACCTTGTTTAGAATTGGGAGCACCTTGGTCAGTATATTTTTGGAAGTATAAAAATAGTTTACGTAATATAAAATGAAGCTGTTTTTGAACACATTGTGTATAGCTTTTACCAATCAGCTACTTTTTCACTGGTTATCTTGTGCCTTTAAAAAAGAATAGTTGTCAAACCATGCTCTTTTGGAGCTGTCTTCCCCATTGACATAAAATTGGCTGTATCACTTCTCAGTATAAAACATGCTTGCACTTTTCTGCTGGGAATTTATTTTTATTTGTGCTGTTATCAGCCCGCACAAACAGATGTCATAGCGGCAAAAAACAGATGGATGTTTTTGTTCCTAAAGATGCTGCTAGTAAAATACATTAGGTTTGAATTTAAAAGATACATTCCATTTATTATAAAGTTGTGAGTTTTCCTAGTGTTATTATTACCGACTGTAGCATGAAAAATGCAGCATAAATTGTAAACACTAAATATTTTCAAAGATGAAGGCATAGGAGCAAAATGTGGTATTATCCATAATATTGCGATGGATACCAGCTGTCAAACCAAGAATCAAAGAGATTTGACAAAAGTATAACATCAGATCTCTCTAAAATCTCCCAGTTATGATTGCCTATAACTCTCTCCCTACTTCCATTAAAACTTGGTTAATTTTATCCCAATTATTCCATGCTCAGAATGATACTTTATTTATTGAACTGTACTACGCAAGGTTTACATGTTACTGCCAACTGAATAGTTAAAGCAGGTGCTCCAGAAGAATAGCTTGCTATGTATGCAGATCAAAGGAAATCCAGCTAGTTTACAAAACAGATGTAACTGCAGAAATTACACCTGGCAGGATTAAATTATTGACATTGGTGCTAGTAATTGATGTTTCATAGGTGAATATTGAAGATTTTTCATTGCTTAGATTGTCCGTTTTGATTTGGGAACTGGCCTTACAAGTTCTGGACAAACACTACATAGGAGTTACACGAGCTACATTTTAGGTTACAAAGCAAGCCTTAAATTCAGATTAAGACTGCATTGTTGTAGTGCTGAAGTCGCAGCCTTAGCTTGCTGGTGCATTGCTCCTACCAGTCACATTGCTATTTACATGGATTGTGGCAACTGACTTTTTTTTTGTATCACCTCAAACTTCTATTGCTTATGGCTTGATTGTGCAATGCACACTGTTCTAGCTTTTCTAATTAAAAAACAAGCTCTACCATTTAACAGTTTTTATAAGCACTTCCTTTTTGTTAGTTCTTTTTTCTGTTCCTTCCTCTCCTGTTACAAGGATTTGGAAAGTCAGGAGAGATACTTGAATCATCATTTTCTTATTATTTCCAGAGTGATAGACTTAATGAGAGGAACATCAGCACTGCTTCTTTATTTAATGTGTTTTTGTGCTGAGCCCTTTTAGAGATGTATATAATGCTTTGTCTATATCCACTATCTCTTAAGTCAGATGTTATCCTTTTAAAAATATTATTATTGGTTTATTTTACTCCAGGGAGAGAAGAGCATATTTGCATATAAAACTCTCTTAGGGGCCTAAACAGCACTGCATTTCTTTACCATTTTCATTTAGGCCTGTTAAATTGATGGTCAACTATTACACTTGATCAGGAGCAGATGAAACATGAGAGAATTGTATAGTTCCACTGTAATGCCTGTAGATTTTGTACTACTTTTTATTTTATTTTTTTAAAAAACTGATGTATTATAGTGTTAAAGCAAAGATAACAAATTTACCAATTATATAGGAAAAGTGCAATAACATGGAAATTCAAGATTTAAGGACAAGTATTTTCCTTGTATTGTGTAATACTAATTACTTTTCCACTGCTGCCCCCCTCCATAACATGTATTTTTAAACAGTGTGAGAATTGGTTAAAACTTCATTTAATGCCATAATGAAGCTGTGTTTTAATAGGTGATAGAATGCACTGAAGTGCTGTTATATAATAAAGATTTCATTAACATTTTATGTTACTGGTATGGTTTATTCTTTCAAGAAGTGTTACAAGTTTATCTGTGACATCACTAGCTGTGGTGAGGAATGAGACAAATTGCAGTAACACCGATGACTAAATTGACATTTTATTTACTTAAGCTTTGTTGCTTCCATTAATAGCATTTTTCCACTTGACTGCTGGTATTGACATATCTTGTTTCTATGGAAGTGGACAAATTCCTTGTGGCTGTAGTTTGTGGCTGTTTTCTGGACCCACACTTAAGAGTTGAGGCTTCTTGGGAGGTGGCTTGTGGATGGGTCCAAGAAGTGGTTGCTATTTGCAGGAGGAAATGATTCTGCCTACTCTGAAGGACGAGGTGATGTGAACCCTTTTAAAGATACCATTGGATGAACTGCTTCAGCCATTTTTGTCCAGTCTCCAGCCTTCTTTTTGGGGGGGAAAGTGAAGATGACATTGGAGCTCAGCTGCAGAGAGTTCTGGATGAAGCTGATTAACTGGATCCTTTTAAGTCTGATTCAAGCCAAAGTCCAGTACTGAGATGACATTGGCTGTGCTTGCCAGTAACCTCTGGAAGGCTTGGGTACAACCATCCTGCCTACCTCCCCCTGGATCTCCAGGTTGTGAATGTCATTGACTCTGCTAACCTTAGTATCCTTCTGATCAGGCTTTAAGGACTGGGTTTGGGAGACACTATTTTGCAATATTCTCTTTTCTTCAGGGCCAGTTTTTTGGAATTGCAGGGAAGACGAGTTCATACTCTAGGTCGTACAATATGAGGTGTGTCAGACCTGCCTCTTCCTTTTTAACATTGGTTTGAAATCTTGGGTGAGGTCATTTGCTAGCAGGGGCTACGGTATCATCAATATGGTGATAATACTTATACCTCATCCCTGGTTGGGCAAGTGATCCCATTGAGATGCCGACTGTGTCTGGAGGCTGTGAGGGTCTGGATAAGGAAGGAGCTTATTTGGACTCAACTCTGGCAAAATGGAGTGGCTTAGGGTTTCTGGTCCCAGAGTCTGGTGACATGCCAGTTTTGATTCTGGACAAAGTGACGCTTGGATGGACAGGGTATGCAATCTGAGGATCCTTCTACACTCACAACTCCTGCCCAATGACCAGGTGGCAGCCATTGCTAGGAAAATTCTTGTGTTCCAGTTGCATCTTTGGCTAGATTGGGAGGCCTTGTTCATGGTCACTGATGCCTTGGTTGCTTCCCATTGGATTATTACAACATGGTCTACGTTATATGACTTTTATTAAGTTTATTGTTTTATATAGGGTTTTATATTCTGCAAGCCACCTTGAGTCACCATGTGCAAATAAGCGGCAATATAAATTCCCTAATTAATAAAAATTAATGGAACACCCCTTGAAGACAATCCAGAAACTATAACAAGTCCCAAATGCAGCAGCACACAGTTTTGGGCACTTCTAGGTTCATCTATTACACCCCTGTTGCATCAGCTGCAGTAGCTCCCAGTTTCTTTCTGAATGCAATTCAAGGTGCTGTTTATCTATTAAAACTGTTGTGTCTGTTTGATACTTTGTAACCTTAAATTGGGTGAAATGGTGCATCATAGAGCAACATTTTTTTGAATCAACATATCTCAAGTGGGCTAATTTACAGAATGTATCCAAAATCTGTCCACCCTCATTTTTGCTTCCCTCTGTCAGTTCCCTGACAGAGGAATGGTAGCAAGTCCCAATAGATGAATGGACATTAATTGCTTTGTAACGAAGATGCCAAATTGAAATCTCTTAACAGTGATGACAGTCAAGTGAGAGAAGAATGACTAATTATTTGGATGCCTGCTGGCAAAGTAGAGATGACTGGGGGTGGGGGTGGGTGGTTGAAAGGTGAGCCCTCTTCCTTGGGGAAACATTGGAATGGGAAGTGGGTGTGCAGCTTTTCCT